CCCCAAAACCCCAAAACCCCAAAACCCCAAAACCCCAGAATATTTTCAAAACTTGAAAGATATTATCTACATATTTAAACCTTAATCTCCATAAATTCTACTGCGTGAAGAATACTCAAATAGGCTGTTTTCAAGAGAAGAACCATTGCTTTCTCCTGGAAGTCAGTCGCTATACTCATTCTTGTTACCATGATATCTAGAATTTGGTATCTTCTTTTCAAAAGTAGTGTTTGGTCTGTTAGAGTTCAAAGGATTGTCATGATATCCAGCACTAGAGTTTTGGACATTATCAATACCCATTCCTGCTGACTGTTTTAGATGAGACAGCTCTTCCTTAACACGATTGAGTTCGAGAAACATTGCTTTAATTTCAACATCATAGTCTTTACTGAGGCTTAGAAGCTCTCTCTTTAAGCCTTCATTTTCCATATTGATACGCTTCTGTCCTTCAACAAACATAAGTGAGTGTTCATAAGCTTTTTCTTCTAGATGTTTCTTATATTTCTTTCTTATCAAAGTTTCTGTACAGCCAAATTGATAATATGTACATTCTATTGGTTCAAGCTCACAGATACGATAATGAGATAAGAGATCCTGGCGTTCAAGCACTGCTCCACACTTATTTTTGCAATTAATTACCTTGAATGGACATTGCTCATCATGTTTTTCCAAATCTTTGAATAAAATCCAACTTCCACAAGTGCCATTTTCACATAAAATTTTGCGGTATTCTCATTCAGCTTCATGTTTTTGCATATCGCAGCGTCTAAACTCAAGACTGCAGCCTTCTTCAAACATGTTGTTACCAGCGTTAGGACATTTAATGATTTCAAGTGGGCAAGTCTTCCTCAAATGCTTCTCTAACAAACATCTTTGGAGAAGCTTTCCACATGAGTTCTTTCATTTTATAGTCTCTTTCATACAATCAGATTTTATATGATCTTCCATTGTATTGAGAGGGAGTAGGACTCCACAACGAAGTCTACATGGCACTATTCTAAAAGGGCATTGCTCGATTTCATGAGTTCGTAAATTCTTACGGATAATGAGCTCTCATTCTGAGCTATTTGGGCAAGAAACCAGCTGATATTTGCAGATTTTCAAATGCTTTTGAAGATCTCCCTTCTTGAACACTTGATGGCATTCAATATTGATGCACTTTATGCTAAGTTCATTTACCAACCTTCTGATTGGAATGTTTGGAATAAGTTCGTTGCGGTCATACCTCTTATTACATAATGGACAATCTATTTTGTTTTGTAAGTCATTCGCCAGATGAGCCATGACAATACATTTTTCACAGAACAAATTATGACATCATGGAGTCTCAACAGCATCGTCAAAAATGTCCAGTCAGATAGGACAGACCCATCTGTCATCGCTAAGACTACTCGCTGAGAGATAAGTAAGTCTGATATTATTTTTAGGAAGATCAGATATTGATTTTTGAACTTTATTCTCTTCTGCTTTAATCTTGATTTTCTCACTTTCAGCAGATTCTTGTTCATCTTTATTGCTCCCACTATTGCTCTTATTGTCTTGGACTTCCCAAAAATCAGTCTCACAGTTAGGTCCAAGGGTTGCACTGGTCCAGTTGCGGCCGTAGTCATCAATAGGATTACAAGAAGCCACTTGGTCATTAAAACTTCCGAAGGGAGAATGAGTATCGCTGTTGCTTTTCCTCTCTTCTTTCCTACGGCTTGAGAGAAGTCTGAAGTCATTCATATAATTCCTATTCCTCATGTTCTTCAGATCGCCTTCTGAGTTAGCATGGGTTGGTAGCATATTATTCTGGTTCCTTGCCTCACGACCAATTTCTCTCCGCTCTCTTTGAGAATGGATATAGGTATCAAAATTCTTGGGAGAGTTACCCATCTCATTAATTCTAATATCTAAGTAAGAATCGGATCTCATCAGTGGGGTGCAGTAAGCATCATTTAGACTCTTCCTTCTGCTTCTGAGATTAGACCTGTGAATTTTCATCAGACTTTTTGAATCATCCATTTGAAGATACTTATACCTCAAATTTTGCTTCTGTGAAAGTTGTTTTTCTTCCTCTACTTGCTCTATGATTACTTCGTGGGATCCCCGAGGGTCTATATGGACTTCTTCAACCATGAAAAGAGAAAAGAGTTTAACTTAAACATAGTGAAAAGATACAAGGACAAACATTTAAGAATTAAAACTTTGCTTCATATATTATCTCCAAAATATTTACTTAAGATGATACAAATTTGATATTTGCTCATACTCTAGTTTTTGTATACAGAAAGAATTTTATTATAAACCCTCTGATCTTCTTCAGATAGAATTGACCATCTAAGCTAAATTTAAACTCTCTTTATTGCCATATGATATCTTGAAGGAATTGTGGCAAATTTATATTAGAAGAGCCTAAATATTCTCTAACTTGCATTTGAGCCTAAAATATCGTGCTCTTCCTGCATCCAGATTTATTTCTTAGCAAACTTATCAGAGCTTGGGGTACAAATATTAACTTGGCCTCTTCACGACAAAAATCAACAAAATTACCTAAAATTCTTCGAAGAGATTCTTGCGACTCCATTATGATTCAAATTTTTATAAAATTAGTGGGGTTTTGGGGTTTTGGGGTTTTGGGGTTTTGGGG